GTGCGCCCATCTGAAGCGCTGTACCGAGCGCATCAAAAGCCGCGTTCTCTCTTCGCTCTGCGCAATCGATTTTGTTTCAGCGTAGATTTAATCACGCGTTCTTCAATTTTTTTTCCCTGCAATAACTCGCAATTGAATTGAACTTAGCAAATTAATTTAATATAGATTGGCGCGTAATAAAATTTACTGCTTACAAGACTGGATGCGTCTTGAGCGCATTTTAGAAAACTGCTTTAAAGGATAATCATTAGAGCGTATGCCACATACAGAAAATGAATTTCTCAAAAGGATAAACGCGAGCGCCGAGAGAGAGTCGCGTGAGTTTATAATTAGAGACATTCTTCCACGGAGGACTTTCATTCGAAAAATAAAAGCATATCTCGGGCGCGAAGCGCGATCAGCGGCGAGCGGCGAGCGCAAAAAGATCCGCCCGATAGCGAGCGCGCGAGTGAAAATTCGATTTGCATAGAAAGGATGACGTGGAAAAACGCGTTAAATTCGCGCGGGTTTCTTAGTGAATCGTTAATCGAGGATCGCCGCTGAGTGACTGCGCCGTTTTAGCTGCGAGGTAGACCATTTTTCCAGCGGATGCGGTCAATTAGAAAATACCCGGTTCGCACTTTCTCCCCGAGTTCCTGTGAACGCCTTCGGCGCTGCGCGATTTGAAAAAGAATCTTGTGGGTCACGACCGACATGATCAGCCATCGCGACAGCTTTAACCTTCCGCCGCGCGGAATTCTCGCGTGAAACGAGCCGAAGACATGCGCTCCGCGTTGTTCCTATCAATTTTTCATTCTTCGACTTTGACGAAGAAAATCGTTGCAACATTCCCACGTTGTTTAAATTTTAGATTACTACAGCTAATGCTTGAGACTCGCCGACAAAGCCGTGCTCGACCTATTTCCCTTCCTTATTAACGCTCTTCGATACATGTTCGTTAAAATTCTCAGCGTTTTGACACGCAACAACATTCTCTTGTTCTCTTCGCTCTACATCTGCCTATAACCGCGCCTTATTTCTCAATGCTTGCGCCAGCAATATACAGGGTGTTCTAAAGCAATCGCATCATCATTAATAGCTCATTACTTTCGTCCTAATGTGACAAAGTAATCGCATCGCGAATGAATGCGTGTGAATGTCTTGAAGAATTGCAAGAAAGACTGAGAGGAGAAGGAAGCGATTTTTAATATTCGTAGTTATTAGATTTTTAACATACTTGTTATCATTTTAAAAATTATAGTTTTTTTCCAATAATTATATAATCCTTCTATTAGATATTTGCATAGAAAAGTGCATATTAAATAAAAAGTAAAAATGTGCGCAATAATGATTTTAAACGCTGCTATAATTTGAATGTACTTTGCACTTTACAGATCAACTTGCTCAGCTGCTGCGCCGATGAGTCGGTTCATTTTGTTTTCTTTTATTATTATTAAGAAAATAGAATGAAGAATGATGTAAAATGATACATATATTGTGAGTACAATGCCCAGGTAACAAGCGAAAGGAAACTAAGCGTCTAATATTCCCATACGAAACGTAAAATGTGCTATTGTACACATTACGTGCGCAGGATGCGCGGCAAATTCTCGGTTTCCGGATAATTATCAAGCGCGTCAAACGAACGACAGAAAAGTATGCATAGATCGATTCTATCGTCGTTGATAGCGGTGGAAGTAAAATTTGTGCGAGAATTATTCTCCTCTAGAAGGAAACGTCGCCGCACACGTACACGTTTTTGCACTTGTGTGCCGTTCTAATGCAAATCCTGGTTCTCATCACGTGATGATGCGCTATGCAGTGCTGTACGTGTTAATTAATGAATGCGATTTCGCGAAGTCGCTTCGCACGGAACGCGTTTTACATTTTAATTTAAACGCGATGTAAATTCAATCGCGAGATTTACAATTGTAAGATAACCGACGTGTGTCACATTACGCAAAAGTTATGTAACAAATGTTTCTCGTATAAATACGCGGAATACAACTGATGATTTTTCCACCGTCTTGCATCGGGAAAGATATAAATGGTATCGTGCCTCAGATATATTCGGGGCGTTAAACTCAGATTACGCGTTAGAGAGTGAAGATCGTAAATTGCAGACTGGAATTCGACCTATCGCGATAGTAGGTTAAGGCGAGATTACTTGACCGATCGAATCTCCATGTCCGAACCTCATCGTGTTCCTTAATTATTCTTAGCGCATCTCGTACACTCATTGTCAGATAAAATCGTGCAGGAGGGAAAATTTCAGATAGACGTCTTGCGTGGATATCACAGAGTTATCTACTTTAAAGTCAGTCATTGTCTATCTTGAGAGTGTCGTCTGTATTTACAAATAAGCGCTAGTAGAGATACATTCGAATTCGAAAGCACGCTTCGAGCATATTTTAAAGAGCGTACAGTCGAGTAAATTTCAAAATTCCTCCGTTCGATACGTACATTTCCTCATTCTTCGTTATCTCGTAGAAACGATAAGATAAGGCATGAGTTTAAAGAAAAAAAAGTCACGGTACCCGTCGCTCTATCAGTCTCGACGTGATTTTCCGAAGACTTGCATTGATTATCGATCGACATGAGTTCTCGTGTCAGGGTCTCTCGGCTGCCGATAACCCCTCGAGGCACTAATGGTGCCTGGTGGCGCTTAATAATATATTTTTTGAATCTACTTATCATAGAAATAGCGACGAGTCGATAACCTGCGCTCGGAAACGGAATTTTTGTCGCGTCGCGACGGCGTTTGCCGCTTCGAAAAGTTCGAAAAAGTCGAAATAAAGTTCAACAAGATTACATCGAGACGCTCTCGATTCCAAGCTAGTTTCATACGCAACACCGCGTTCTTACGCGATCTCGATATAGGAAAAAAAAACTCGCTCGAGAATCGCATCGTCATTTCCATGCAAACGCACGCTAAATAATGCGTCGCTGCGATTTACGCGCACAATGCAATTCCCGCGATGCAGAAATGTGCGCGGCGAATGACGAATTTTCGAACGGTGGGATAAAGTTCGTTCGGCAGCGAGGAATTTAAAGATCGCTCTCAACCGCCTTCGCAGAGGTGTGTTATTATCATTATTTCCATCTCGGCGATAAGATTCCTCTTCGTGCGTGCGTGAGTGCCGCGATGCGTTTCGACGCAGCTCGGTGTGCTTCAACGTTAATCAAGCCGACTCGATCGGCCACTTTTGAGACACGCTATAGCGAGGCCTTTGGTGCCCTCGGGGGGCAGCCGGCGGACGAGACAGCCTTGTAAAAACCGATACTGTTACTTCCGAGATGCCCGCGACTCTCCCAGTAGCTGCGTCTAATTGCGCTCGCGAGGAAACGGGGTGAGAACCGCGTCATTATCTTTTATCCGGCGATGTGTACTGTTTGACGTCGCGACCGGCTAATTGCCGCGGGATTTACTACCCACAACACAACGCCGTTATCAGCGTTGGGCGGCGCGCAATTATGATAAATTTATCGCCGCACAAATCGGTCCACTTAAAGTGAATGAAATTAATGACGCGGACGGCCCGCGGGTAGAAAACATAAAACACGCGAGTGTCAAAGTCGCTCCGTGGGCGAGCATTAATCTGTCATCGCGGTGAATTTAACTGTCTAATTATACAATTTTATATATATCTAAAAAATTAAAATATATATTAATCTAAAGTTATAAAAGTACATCCGAATGAAACATAAAAAATTTCAGAGGGTGATAAATTATAACCTGTCGCTCGTGTGTTTAATAGACCTAATTTCATCTGTCACTAACGTTTTAACTTTACTACGTTATAAATGAACACATAAATTCTTCAATAAAAAATATCATAAACATAAATATCTCACACTTTATTATAATTTACCGTATATGCTTGTGAAGAAAAATTTCTGATTTCTCCATGGCTTATTATATAAACTGTCATTGTTCGACCGCTAGAGACTCGAATTCTTTGCTGAGCGATAGTTTCTACAAGCAGGAGGAGTCCGCGTTTTAATGCCCATCTCGGCGAAGAATTCCGGGAGCGAGCGAGGTGAATAAAACCTTTAATGGCGCGGCGAAGAAACTCGCGGCGAGTCGCAAATCGATCCCTGCCGAGGCGAAGGCCTTCGACCGTGTTATTCGACGTAAGAAAGTAATCAACGAAACGCGGATCGCTTAAGGAAAAGTGGAGCGCCCGCCTGTAATTTACGGATTTCACTGAATGGCCCCACCTCAAAGTAAAACTAACGCTCGCGCTATGATTTCATTCCGCGCTCGGATCTCTCGCTCGCTGGCTCGCGCGCGATCTCGCGACATAAGAAAGTGATCATTCTATTCGCATCCGAGCAGCCGATCGCGCTCGCGCGTTTTCACTCGGCGAACGGAGTAACCCATTTTGTCCGCGCGGCCAAGTCCAGCCGAGGTTTTCCCGTGCGATTCCGTAAGAGTGAGCCAACAATTAGCCGCTAATTGTTGGAGCCTATCGCGCGAGATTGGCTCCTCGCTGTTATTAGTTGCTCGGCGTTGCGGACGAAGGGATCGCATCACGCACACCCGCATCCGTGCGATGACTTTCGAATTCGCGCGCGCGATGGGAACGATGTGTCTGTAATTAAACCTAATCAAGAAGATTTCGCACGTGCGAATGACGCGCGTCCGACTATCTCGCATCGTTGCCCGAGCAAGCCGGATGTCGATAACGTGAGCGTCGACGACAGCATTTTACTTCTAATTTTAATGTTAATTGTGGAAATAATGATCTGAGCAGTCGACAACTGTAAAAGACAATTGAACAAAAGACAACTGACAATCTTCTGTTTTTCCCCGAATTCAAATGAATAGAAAATAATAATTTTAAAAATTTATGTATGAGTATTGTATATGCAAGCGTAGCTTTCGTTAAAAACAATATGCAATATTGTCAGGTTGCACAAATAATTGGAAATCAATCGCTGTAGGCTCTACAATCTAAGATTCCACCCGATTCTAAATCTTTCTATCAAATAAATAACAAGTTTGCATAGTCACTCACCTATTTTTCTTGCTCGCGTAAATTACGTTTCACGGGTATTCAGCAAGACCGCGCGGAACACATTCCCAAACTTTGCGCGTTTCGCGAGGCGGAGTCGAGCGGAAAATACTTTTGGGAACTGCTTCTCGAGGCAGGAGAGAAACCAATGCGATCCGTCCGACGGTTCGCAGCGGACTGGAGCACGTTGCGCGCTGCTGTGCGGACGCGGCGCGGAGTGGAGCGCGGCGAGAAGAACCGGACGCGCGGAGGAGCGCGCGCGGCCGATCTCCTCTCCGAGCGGCGGTCGTGGGAGTCAAATCGCTAGGTAGATTATTCGGTGAAACGACGACCGGGCGGGCGGCTGATACGGGTGGCAGTACCAGCCACGGTCGGGGATCGTGGTCTCGACCTCATCACTCACCTATTCAGCGCGGCGGTTCGTTATCCACTCGTATATAAGAAAAAGAGAGAGGAAGATCAAAACAAAAATCAAATTAAGCGATTATTTACAAAAAACGCCCCACATAACGACATTTTTCACTCTAATAAAACGGAGAAAAACCGTGGTTGCGAGATCATAAAAAACGTAGAGAGAGAGAGAGAGAGAGAGAGAGAGAGAGAGAGAGAGAGAGAGAGAGAGAGAGAGAGAGAGAGAGAGAGAGAGAGAGAGAGAGAGAGAGAGAGAGAGAGAGAGAGTAG